AGCCGCGTGGGGGGGGGCCTGCTGTTGTGGGGGGGGAAGCCGGTCTGCGTCGCCGTGGGGAAGGGGTGTATGTGCTGGTGGTGGGACATGGGCAGCAGCCCCTTGCTCGTGGGAGGGAATAACGACTGAGAGGAGGGCAAGCTGGGATTTAATCCCGTGGCCAGTGTGAGCCCACTGCCCATGGGCCCCAGCACTGAAGCGCTGGTCTCCATCACGCTCTGCGCAGAGCTGACAGAAGGCGTTAACTGGATCTTCTGAGTGACGCCGTTGGGCAGGGTTTGGAGCACGTACAGTGGCTGCATGTTTTGATTCACTACCCGCAGCTTTTCGGCGGGCGGGGTTTGAGGTGGGGCGGCGTCGTCTGCACCGCGGCATTGGAGATCTGCGAGGGGCCGGGGCTGTCTGTGGAGTTTGGCACGTACTTCTGGCTCTGGAGGGGAACGGTGGGGGACACCGGCACCTGGATACCTGGAGTGCCGCTGTTCCTTGTTAAGTCCTGGTTGCTGCCGTGCCCTTGCTCGACGGGGCCGCAAGGCGGGCTGGCTATGTGCTCCGCGTCCATGTGGCCCTGGATGAAGTGATCGGGAGTCATGTGTCCTTCGGGGCTCGGGTCCACTCCCGGGCTCAGGAGAGCAGTGTCACCCTCCCCCGAGGCAGATTTTTCAGTGACCGTCACTCTCTTTTCCCCAGACTCCGCAGAAGGCAAGGCGAGCATTGACCTCTCTCCCGAGGAAGAGAGCGAAGACTCTGAGATGACGGCGAGCCGGTTGTGGTTCTGGCTGGGCACCGTCGGGCTGCGCGTGGTCAGCACGGACAGATCGGAAGGGAGCTCCAGGGGCAGCTCGAACTGCTCCTCCGCCGATATGGAGGAGGAGACGCTGCTATCCACCGGCTCAGTGGTCGGCAGCTGCTGGGAGAACACCTCAAACAACCCCATGTCCTTGCCGCGGTTGCTGTCGAGCCCTAAACCTTCTCCGAGCGTGAGCAGTTCCGACGACGAGGACTCGGGGCTTTCCCCCAGCGCCTGCATCGACGGCGTGTTCTTCAGGACGAAGTCCATGATGTCGGAGGGGAGGATGTTCCCGCAATCGTCACTGTTGTTGTTGTCAGAGTCGGATTTCAGAAGCTCTGCGTTAAAAGTGTCCAGTAAGTTCTTGTCTGAAGGTGTGCTCGCATGAGCCCTGCGGCCCGTCTCCAAGGAGCTCAGCTGAGCTTCCAGCGAATCCTGGCCTTGCGCTTTGACCCTGCTCACCGGGTGGCAGTTCTCCATCTTTGGGTCGCTTTTATGGACAGCAGAGCTCTTAGTGACTTGCACTTTCTCTCCGGCTTCTTCTGCTCGATCTAGCTTTAAGTTCTCTGTTCCATTCTCTTTACCGCTCCTTTTGCTTACTTGACTGACTTTTCTTGTCGTGGCCGTGACGCTCGTGTCACTTTCGGTTCCATCATCCACGCCGTCCAGCTGTGAGATTTTTGGAAGATCACACTGCTCCTCCTCCCGGAACAGATTATGGGGCGCGAGTCTCTCCTCCGCATTCGATGAAACCACCGTTCTAGTGAAGTTGTAGTAGTATAAGTCGTCTTCATCAGATGTGCTCAAGTCATCCGCGCCATCCACCTGTCCTTCAGCAGAGCGCTTCCCTCGCTTCTTGCCTGTCGAGTTACTGTAGAAGGGAATGTCCTCCTCTCCGTAAGACCTTACGCCGTACAGAGGAGTCAGCCCGAAGAACATGTTGGATCTGGCCCTAGCGCTTCTCCGCGGGTACCTCCGCTTGTACGAGCCTTCTTCTTGAGCTTTGCTTCCGTCCTGGAGCATCAAGTTGTTGTCCTGAACGGGCAAATTTTCGTACGTGTTGTTTTGAGATTCCTGTGCCGGCACTTCATTGGGACTTCCCTGAGCGATGGGGTGATCTGCTGGGCCTTCCGAGGTCGAGCAGGGCTCCGCCAAAGCGGCCAGTTCTGCCCCTGCAGACTGAAGCTCAGCATCGCTCTCCTGTTGTGCGCTTTTCGCCGGGTTTTCACTTTCCATCTTGAGAGGAGTCAGAGTGACTTTGACGGTGCGTTTTCTAGGTGCCTGCGATTCCTTAGAGGCCACTTCAATCTGCACAGCCGAACCTTTAGAGGGCCCTTGTGAGGGTGGAGACTTCTCGCCAGCTTTTTCAGCATGAATATTATTCCCTTTTGCTCAGTTGCCAAACCCTGATTACCAAGTTCTGGGTTTGGGTTTCCCTCATCACTGCCTATGGCTTGACTTGAATCTGTAAGAGCTTTCAGGGAATGTTTCTCTTTAGAACTATCTTTTGCTAACTTTTTCCCCTTCTGTCGCCTGTCTCTAGGCACAGACACTACCTGCTCGCTTGCAGCAGGAGACCTGCTATTTACTCCAGCAGACTTCGAGGTCTTGGCTTCCATCTCATCCAGCGCAGACATTTTCTCTGGCTGCACAGGTTCCACGTGCTGATCTCTGTCTTTCCTTGTGCCTCTCTGATGCAAAGGTGGAAAGGACATTGCTTCTTTGGAAGAAAATGATCCTGAACATTCTTGAAAGGTTCCTATTTTAACATTCATTTCCACACCTGATGAACTGGTTGGCTGCGTTTTGGAGCTTCCTCCAGAAGCAAAGCTGTGAGCTGAATAATCTGGGTCCATGGAGGTCAGCGTTTTCGTCTTCTCTCCTTTAGAAGCCACCCCTTTGGCTATCAACTCTGCACTGCCGGCGTGCTTTCCTTCCGTGGACTGAGAAGCATCCAGCTGGTAAGTTTTACCGCCACTAGTAGCTGCTGTCTTCTGGGAGCCCGAACTGGCAGAGCAACTCTGAACCGGAGCGCTCGGAGCCCCTGCAGACCCCGACCCCACAAAGCGGTCGGTAATTTTGGTGCTTGGTTCGTGTTCTGAAGAGGACCCCATGCTGGAAACTGAAGACATGCTGTGCCTGGAGTAAGCGTTCCCGGCTCGTGTAGTGGAAATCATCCGGAGTTTCGACTGCTGCTGTGACAAAGAGGAGGTGCTATGTCTCCTAGAACCAATGCTCTTCAGTCCAGAGGACAGCAGAGGGTCTCCTACTGTCACTATTTCATGAGTCACCGGGGTAGGACTCCCTGAGAAAATAACGCAAGAAAGACGGTCAAAGGATCTGAAACCTTCACAGTCCACGTGCACCCAATTCCTCCACACAAACCACAAGAAATCAAAAACCAGCAAAGCCTTGTGGCCGGAGAGTATTAACATGAAGATGATACTCAAGACGAGTATTAAAAATCTGCTACTGCCAATCAGCACTTGTCACACAGAGCTGACAAGCTGGTATTTCCAGGCTCTGTATCTCAATTTTAGGTGTGAATTTTCAATGTCAGTTTGAAATAAAACGCGACTCATTCATACAGAAATAGCAGCTGAACCACAATACCAGATTCCTGATTCTCTCTTGAAGAATACTAACTGAGATGCTGAAGTCCCTAACTGGTATCACAGCTCTTCTGCATTACCGCTGTTACATTGCCTCCATCCCAGGGAAATTTCTGTTTCAGTTGGAACGCTTCTCGATGGGCCAACCTCTACTGCATATTTTCAGAACTTTTATTCCCTTGAACCTATGGCCACTACCCTATTTTGTCTAGAAACTCAACATCACATTCTGACCGCAGCCAAAAAAGACACGAACCAAACCAACTAACCAAGATCCCCCCTTAAAATCAAAATCCAAGGCAAGGGCACTTCAAATACCTGCAGAGGGCAACGGCCTAGAGCCGGGAGACCTCTGTGTGGATGGGTAACTTGGCGTCCTGATGCGGGGACCCTTTGAGACCACTGGGTAGTAACAGGAACTAGAGGTCTGAGAATGTAAGGGACGATCCGGTGACGGTGGGTTTACGATTTCAGGTGTGTTTCGGCTGTCTTTGGGCAGAGCTTCTGCTGTCGTGTAAAAAATAAACAGTGTAAGCCGTCGCTGAGTCTCAGAAGTCTTGATCTGCTAAAGCATACATTGCTATCAGCATATATTGCTATTCCCTTGTGGAATTGGAGTATTTGTTAAACAAAGACAAAATCAGAGATCACTGCTTCCTGGCTATCAGATAACGTCTGCCTTCTCCTAACAATATTTTCAAATACAATACAGTCAGCCTCAGCTCACACAGACAATTCCACTACTTTAAGACAGTCCGTAAACCTTTACCTGTAAGGGGAACGGGGCTGTGGGCAATGGTTCTGTTATCATCGTGCTCTACGGTGCTGTTGATGTCAGGTTCTATGACTGGAGGCCGGCACTCCATGATCTTGCAGGTGTACACACAGCGCTTCCTGGCATCTGTCGTGCTCCAGTACACCCTGGAGCACCTGGAAGATGATTCAAAGGTAGAGCAATTCACTCAACAGGCGAGGAAACCCCACCATTCCTACTTTAAATCTGCAACTTCTCAAAACTACACAGGCCAAAGGCTTCCTGGCACAATGTGCTGCACGTCTAGCCTCATCACAGGACAAAAGCCAGTCAATTTTTTTTTGACGTGTTATGTCAGTACTGCTTTGGCATCCAAAACACTGAAAGGCATCTAATCATGACAGGGCTTATACTCACTGATAGCCAATGGGAAACAACTTATCTTCACAGTCCGAGAGGTCATTCAGAATTCCTAAACAGTCTATTGTCATTGAACCTGAGCAGAAAGAGAAACGGAAGAGTTCTGTGAACCAGATTCTGGCAGCAGAGGCAGGTCAAGCGTTCAGAAACTCGATCTTACCAATCATCATGTGGATGTTCTCGGGTTCCAAGCCACTGAGAAATTTTCTTCTCAAACTGATTCCTTCAAAGTCCACAAAAACCCTCCTAAGAACTTCAAATCCGTTCTCAGGAACCACCTGGAACGAGATGCCACAAAACTGCATGTTAATTTTTAAGGAACCTCCAGGCACACACTGCACGGTCTAACTCGACTCTCAGTTTGGTGGTTCTGCTTTTGAACTGCCACACAGTGCTGCTCGTCAAACCTCCCCGTGGCGGCCGTGTCACTGACTTCTCTTCTAGCAGCACTGGGGTCCGGGCCTCGTCAGTCAGGACCACATTCAACACTGAATTCTCAAAAGTGCTCGAAGATGCAGGCTAACCCCATCTTCAGATGGGGCGAGGCGTGAAAGAGGAATCTCACCTCTCCTTTGATCAAGTCACGATGCCTCTGGCAGTAAACTTTCTTATCGTCCAGAAAGACACAGTTCTTGGCTCGCGAGCACATGAAGTGGTAGTTGCTTGTGCAGGACGTGAGGCAGCAGCCTACTGTGGCGCCTGACTTCTGGCAGAACTCACATCTCTACAAAAGCAAAAAAACCAAAAAAAAGTTAAAAATTAATTTCTTCCAAAACCAGGCTATCAGTGCTGTTGTCAATTGGGTTTTTCTGGCACAGACAGAAGTTTCGAGTAATGTCTGACCTCCCACTTCATTGCTGTAACGCTTCCCTGCCATGAATCGCACGCACGAGTGAGACACGGAGGAGGAGGTGAGAGGAAGAAGGATCCCTCGCACAGAACCGCTTTTGCATTTGCAGACTGGCTCCTCCAGGCCTCAGACTTTTTCGCTTGTACTCTGCATCCAAGCGTTACGTTGGCAAGATTAATACGTCAACGCTTCTCCCGCACTGAGTACTCCCCGTGCGGGCAGCTTACTGCTGGTTAAGAGCAGGCCTGCTCCGCTGCTGCTGCTGTTTCACTAAACGCTTAGGACCGAGAGACGCAATATGAAAACAAAACTTGGATGAACTGATTTCTAGTCCTGCTTTTAGTCTCATTTCCTTCTTCTCCAAAGTAAGCAACAACTGATTCACAAGAGGAATTATTTCATCTTCTAAGACTGTGCAGGAGTCCAGGAAAAAAGACACCGCTCGGATGCCTTTTGCAGTATTTAACAGAGGAGGTATGCACGATCCCTCACCTATACTCAGAAACATGAAAATGCTCCTCGACTGACACCTGGACATGGCCAATATTTGCTTTACACGGCTTCAACTCTGTTACCAGTTCCACAACATTTCTGAACTGAGCAAGCATAAAATAAATTTTCACGTATCTTCAGTTGGCTCTATCACATATTGCATAAAAAAACCCCAAATGCAAGGAGAGGACAGAGCAGGAAAAAACACACGCAAGGAATCTTTAAGCCGGGTTCCTGCGTTCCTTACTGATACCCACCAGCTGCTTTCCCCTGATGACAGCCATGTGCACGTTTTTCAGAGAACCATCATCATCTTCAAACACTTCTGCCGACCATAAAGCACAGTTCACATGTGTCCACTCGTTCTGGCCAATGTAGAGAAGACGTCCAGCATCCTAAGGAACGGAAGGAAATGTTCTTTCCAAGTGTTCCCCGAGACACAGCAACGCACAAAAAGCACCCAGCCCACCCTCAGCACTGCTCAGATCAGCTCCCCTTGGAAAAGGGATGGGCCAGACACTCACGTTAGCACTGTCGTCACCATATTTCAGGCACAAGGCGCACTGTCTGTTGTCTTCTACGTCCGGAGGTGGGTTAAGTTCGGGACTATCCTCTCTGCTTCTGTCAGAGCCTTGGAGTTAAAAGAGAGAACACCGCTTATTCTTGGAAGTCAGGGAGGTGAAAATTCATTTGGAAAGACTGCCAGTAAGGGAACGGGGTGGAAGAACCAAACAGCCGCCCCGAGTTTTCAGTGGTGCGCTCGTAAAGTAAGGCAAAGCAACGCCAGCCTCTACACAGCTCTCATGCTGGGGAAGAGGCAGGTGGGAACGTATTTCTGGGCCCCAGCTCAGCTCAGAAACAGCTCCATTCTGAACCATTTCAGGTCACAGAGGTCTCCAAAATTCGTTGGCTGCATACAGAGTCAACATCGCCCTCTCCTTACTACTGGGAGATTCAGAACGAAGCACCCTGGCTTTGGGACCAGTGGTGCTGCGATCAGTTTCCTTACTAGAGATGGGTGGTGTAGGAGGATGTAGAGGAGTTGGTGAATCTGGCTCTCCAGGCCCTTTGGGTTTTGGAGCTGGAATGATTTTCTTCATCAGAGGGGGCTGTTCGGTGCGGTTGTTCTCTTCACGCTCCTGCCACTGAGCATAATTATGGTCAAGCGAAGGGGGCAGCACCGCGTTCGGCAACATACCACTGCTGAAACGCAACAAGGAGTCAATCGTCAGAGCCGCCAGCGCCAGAGCACCTCGTGCCCTCTCCACCAGCGCTACGGACACTCAACAGGCAAGAACGACCCACCTAGCCGCTTCCAGCCCACACACGCTCTCAACAACAGCCATGACCAGTCCCTTGCACCGCAAGGGCTGTGACAGAGCTGCCTCTTGCCAGGGTAACAGATGCGGGAGGAGGGCCCCACCAGAATGGCGGGAGGAGGAGGAGGAGGCAGGAGGGGAAGGAAGGAAGGACAGGACTGACACGCCAACACATTGCACACCCAGTTCTAAATGGTTCTCTGCTTCAGAACAAGGAAGCGTACAGAAAACCTGGGAACAGGATTACTGAGTAACTTCTTAGAGAACAGAAAAGAGAGAGAATAGAAGAGAGAGAGAGAAGAGAAACAGAAAAGAACCAGAAAACCCAACCCCACAAACACGCTCTCTCGATACTTTTGCTTGGACAGCTGGCAAACCGCAGGGTGTCACAGTCAGACACAGAACAATTACTTACTTGCTTGTTACTTTATTTGGCTCCCAAAATCTGGACTTTTTTACACTGAACCATGGAAAAACACGCTCCATTTGCTGAAGGAAAACAATAGTCCATCAGAAAAGTTATACAATGTTCCCCCAAAAAACCTAAGACATTCAGCCAAGATCTACTGTAAATGCACAACTTGTGTGATTTCATTAACATCAACAACTTTGAATTATTTTATTCCTGGAAACATCCGAGCCACAGTAAGAACGGGAGACCCTCTGGATTCCAACAGCAACAAACAGTGGTAGAGAGCAAGCAGATCTCAAAATAACAGTAGTCAAGCTCACCCGAATGAAGAAGGACTTGACCATGCTGTTGGCTTTCTTAACTTCTGGCTGCCCTCCATCGGAATTAATGGCTGCTTGAATTATCTTCACGATATCGTCACTAAAATCCAGCTATAAGAGAGCCACAAAAGGTCACATTAATGGGATCGTCTCTCGTACAGCTACGTCGTCCACTAACTTTTTAAGGCACTAAGGGAGCATCCAGACAACCAGAAGCGTGAACTAGGGCATCGACTTAAAAGCACATCCCTCCACACATGAATTATTAGTTCCCAGGTAAGTGACTGCCATTGGTGTTATTTGGACAGGCCTTCGGTGAAAATTTGCACGTGAATTATGACCAATCCTGTTTCCACTGACACAAACGTCTCACTAAGAGCAAAAAGGATTTCACCGGGAATCACTGGTGCTTAAAAAGCCAGACAACAGGGTAAGTTACATGTCTTCGGGCCAACATTAACACACACGCCAGAGGGAATTATTTTTCGCAGCACGTTAACCTGTTGCCTTGTCCATAAAGAGAAGCCTTAAGCACAGCATAAACACCACGGGTCGTTAAGCAGCCCATCCGATCTCTTATTAGAGCAGAACACCAAAACTCTGACATACCACAGAAGTGTAACTTCCTTGGTCCATTTTTCTTTTCACTCCCTCCAGATCCAGAGGCTGCTGCTCCTCCTGCTTACTGACTTCAGTCAGGACAGGCGGGTCGGGACCTTCGGGAGAGCTTCTGGACGGGATGCTCTCTTCCGTCTCGGGATTTAAATCAGGCGGTTTTGCTGCCTGTTAACATCAGCAAGGAGACAGAGGGACATTGGCTACTGAAGCGTGGCTGCCACGCGTGACATACTCCTGTGCACGTTTATTGGCCCAGAGATCCTTGGTAACATAAAGGAAAGGAGACTCAAGCTCTGAATTCCCATCCGAAAACAAAAAGGTCTTAACCTGCGTTCTGTCGCTGACCCGGGCAGCGCACAGCAGGGCAGAGCGATCAACTACATGGATCAAACTCATTTTTCGGAAGTCTCACTTCCCAACGTCTATTTCAGGACTGAGATCCTGATCATCTGTTAAGAAAGCGTCTTCACAGAGCTAAATCCCCCAAATCCTTGAAGAACTTCACCCTACTTTTTCCTCTAGCCTCGCAAGTTGTATCATAGATACCCGCCTCTTTGTTTCCATAGGAATGACCAAAAGAAAGAAAACGAAAGTCACAGCACACGCTGTTCTAAGTGCGATAAAGACACTTTTGCAGCATGACGCACAGCGATACCCGAACTCGGCCGAGTGCCAGGAAGCGCTCCAAGCCAGAATGTGTTAAAGGGATGCAAGGCTCCAGCTTACCTGTCGATAGCGCAGCAAGTGGCTAGTCGTTCTAGAGTTCAACAGGGCTGTTAAAACCTGCTTTAAGGAAACCTGCAGCTCCTTCTCCAGTGCCAGACGCCACTCCGCGGGATGCTGCTCCGTGCAGTTAATGCAGGTGTACGCCACACTCTCAGGCAAGTTAGAGAGGATCTCATACATTTCATCTGGAGACAAAAAAAAAAACCAAACAACCATCTGAACTACTTTACTGAAGGACGACGATAGGGAAACCCCCCCCCCGGCTCCAGACATTGTCTAACCAAAACCCTTTTCGCATAACAACAGTGCCTCTGGCACGTGAGCCATGTGGCATTTGAGGTGAGCTCCATACTTTTAGGATGTCACTGATACCAGGACCACTTGCCTTGTGGCCATTCTACAGGTATTTTTGGGGTAGGGCACAACAGGTGAGGGTGTTAACACAACGCTCTAGCAGAAAATGCCAAGACCGGACTGCTTAGGTCTACTCACTGCCCTGTGTTCTTAAGTGAGGAGGAGATCAGCATTTTGCCTTACCAGAAAGGTTTTCACATTTGGAGTGGACCCAGCGGTCGCATTTCCCGCACTGCATCATCTTGCTCTCGTAGTCGTCGTCGTCATAGCATTTGTCACAGAGAGGACAAAAATTCCCTGCAAGCAAGGCGTGGCTTTCATCAGTTCAGCTGCCACACGCACCTTAAAGGCAGTCACTGACGAGGCTCCTGTGGCCAAGAGTCTCAACTTCACGTACCTTTAGCGAAGAGTTTGGCACAATCGTGACACAGCGAGAAGTCGTGAGACCACTGTGCATCCCACCCTTTGCCTGGGGTTGTTGACCCGCAGCTCTTGCAGCGAACACATTTGGTACATATCTGGAAAAAGAGTGCGTTTGGTGGGAGTTACTTGCTTTGACCCAGGGGCTTCTGTGCTTTAGTCCCAACGATACGTTTCCTAGTCTTTGTTATTTCACGAGCGCAGAATAATGAGCTTCAAATACCAGTGCTTTCACTAAAATACCGCACCTTTCACTCCCTTTATGGTAAGGTAGTGATGACACAACAAGAAAAAAAAAGAAAATAAATCACAGTGCAGTTATCGTCCTTCACACCCGCACTGAAGAAAACATCGCCTTTCCCTTCACAGAAAACAGCAGCACATTGCTTCCATGTTGTGGGGCTAAGGTGTGAAGAGTTAGACAACTAAAGAAGGTGTAATCTCTTCAAAAAACCTGCCCGTTCAGAATCTTATTAACAGCTCGCCTCACCACCCATTTCCTAACGCACCTTGCAATGCAGCAGGCACCCCGCCAGAAAAGGCTGGGTGATTGCGTCAGACCAAGCGCTCTGCCGAGCTCTGACCCGTGGTGTTACCACCAGCCAACAACGAGCAAATTACCCAAGAAAGAAATCAAAATCCCTCACCCAAACTTTCTTTTTCTTGGTAGGTTTTGTTGGGTAGTTTGGGCCCAGGCACTCGGGGTGATAGCTGTTTCGGCACTTGTTACACTCCAGCAGCTGCTACAAGGACAAGAGGAAAAAGCACTGGGACGGAGACCCTCTGACGGGATACGAAACCCGGCCGGTTTTGTTTTGCATTGGCTGCCCCGCTGGGGGCAAAGGGAAGGAGACGGAGCAAAGCAACTCAAGAGGCATCCCCCCGGCACACAGTCCCTGCGCTCGCTTGAGGGGCTGTGGGAGCAGCGCACGGGGTCTGTCGGGTGTCCCGGTGCTCGAGGGTACCTTGGTGGCCTGGTGCTGTCTCCCACAGACGGGGCAGAACTTGCAGCGACGGCAGCACCAGTTCTCCAGCTGCTCCTCCAGGGGCCGCTCGCTCTCCTCTAAGCAGAACTTGTGGAAGGGCTCGCAGCAGACCTGGCAGTACACGAACTGCAAGGCGAGAGGGAGGTTTTAGCAAGTCGGAAGCCACACTGAAGTCCCAAACAAGCCCCCTCGCGCTCCAAACGATGCCGAATTCTGCTTTGCGGCTGACAGAGCAAGGATTTCTACCGACATGTTTCTAGGAGGGAAGCTGCACCTACTTCAGACAGCCCGGATACAGGCTCGTCGAGCCAGAGCAAGGATGTCGGGTTGTTATCCACATGTTCCAAACACTGCCAAAGGCCTACAGGGCTCTTTGGGATCTACCTCCCTTGCTCTAACCCAAGTCAACTGCACCAGTAGAAACAGAGTGCAGAAGAAAGGGACATGCAGGGCCAAGAGAGACCTCTCTCCTGCCGTTTGGCTTAGGCAGCCCATAGGAAAACTCTTCTATTTTCTACGTATTCCCTACAAGGCTGCTCATTATCAGAAAGAAACCCACCCTCAGGGCACGAACGTCGCAGGCTCAGAGGGGCCAGAAGGATCACTTGTGCCCTTGAGCAACCTGACTGCAAAGGGGAGGGCCTCATGCCCCATGGGATCATCAGGGTCCTCAAGCAAACCCACGTCCACGTGCACAATTTCACACCCCTGTTCCCCGAGCATCGTTCCCACATCGTGGCCAAGCCTTGCCTAGAGCGCTGTCCCCACCTTCCCAGGCCAGCTGGTCTGATGAGGTCGAGAAGGCCCCTACAGCATCATCGGGCGGCTGCTCTTATTGCAGGTTTAAAGAATGCAAAGGCCCCACTTCACATCACACATGGGATTCCCAATTAAACGGGATGCAGGCGCTCTGAAATACGCTATTCTTTACGCCTGACACAGCTCACCTTCGAAGCGAGCACCGTGGAAATTTCCCAACTGATCTGAAATACCTTGCACGTTAGTCTCTTGGGACAAAGATGAGCAAGGATGGGTTCGAGGGTCCTATGTGAATTTCTGCTGGATCAGGGTCACGATATTTATTTATTTGTTTATTCTGGTGACAACACGGTGCTTTAGCTAAGTCATCGACAGCAGAACGCAATGCTTTACCTCCACGTGTCCACTGCTGGCACAGAGAAAACAGACCACCCTGGGAGTAATAGGTACCGAGGTGACGATGCCTAACCCACCCATCTCCCAAACATTCTCCACTTCACAGTCCTCCTGAAAGTACAAAAGGAGACGTCACCAGGCAGAACAAGGCAGTACAACATCAGCATAAAGCGCTCACACCGACCGCGGCTTCGCACGCTCTGAGCCTCGACCTGAAATCCTCTCAGCTTCTACTGCCGGCTACTGCACAGCGTATACGGGAGCAGCCACAGCTCGACACTGGTCTCGCCAGGAGACGCTAGCCTTCCTTCTATGGAAAGCAAGCCTGAGGAACAGCCCAGAGTTTGCCCCGGTTGCACGAGTATTACTAGAAGTGAAACTTCAGAAGAATCGCACTTTATTAAAGCCCCACACTTGTATAAAACACTTAGATGAGATCTCACTATGGTCTCCGGTATCAACACTTAGAGATGGACTGAAAAATTATTAAGAAAATAGTATTTTTTATTATTTCAACACCGTTGTTCAAAAAAAGTACATGATTTGTCATTTTAAGACCCCAGATAGACCCCGAATGTCGTGAATTACAAGTTACTAACATTTTCCCCAAATCTTGTTGGCTCAGGTTGTGGTAAGGTTTTATAATTCCATCTTAATGGAATCATTCTTCATTAACCTCAAATTCTTGCTCATCCTCACACATTGACAGTTAAGGTTTTAAAGCTTTAAGTGTCTCTTCGTCCAGTACTCTAATTATAAGGAAAAAAAAATAGAAGAACAAGCTTCTAAAAATCAACCGAATGGCTCGTCATGACGGCTCCTATTTGCGGTTCTCTCTGAACAGCACCAGACACACAAACTTAGAGGTCACTGCCAGCCCTCTCGAGGGACTCGAGTTCCAGTGTTTAGAGCCAGGTAACATTCAAATACTTAAAACATTTTGTCCTCTACCTTGAAATCCACTCGGATTCTGTGGACTCCATCCGTAGGTGGCTTTTGCTTGGAACCGCTTCCGTTAGTCAGGGTGTTGAGCAAATTCAGCGTGCTGCTCTCGGGCTTGCTTACAGGAGGGGGCTTTTCCTAGGCGGGTAAAGGAGCCAGCATTAATCCCAGCCCCGAATGTTCAAACTTAACCGGCGCGCACGCTGAGCGCCGTAGGTCACTCACACACCAAACCCCCAAACCGGCACAGAATTCGCGCGTGCGTGAGAGTGGTGAGGAAGTAGCCACGTTGCGAACTGTTTCTCAAGAGCATCCCCTACACAATCACATTTCTAACTCGCTGTGTCCTCCTCCAGGACTGTGCTGGTCTCTTGTCAGAGTGCTGCTCCCCAGTGCGCTGCAGTGGGGCAGTTCTGCCTGTAATTAGTCCCTACGCACTTCTCTTTCAGATTTAAATAAGGCAATTCCTTTTTCTTTTTTGTTTTGTTTTCTTTTTCATAACGGAGTGTTCCCAAGCAGAGGGCAGTTCCACATTTCATGGAAAAGCCAGCCTCCGCCTTACAACATGCAAGTCTCAGAGAGCGAGCTAACACCTGAACTGAATCCAAGGCACGCGCCAGGGACTTCGGCACCCACGTACCGCGACAAGGGAGAACGGTCCCCAGCACCAACGCAAACCCCAAACAAAACCAAGCTGCAAAAGGGTTAGGTGATACAGTTCTACTTTCTGAACAGACACAAGTTCCAGGTTCTCAGAATCTATCGATCGCGCACAAAAAATAGTATTCACCTTTTCTTTTGGTTTCTGTTTCACAGGGAAAGTTGGACGGGGAGCAATTTTTTTCTGTTTGCTTTGTTCTGTGCCTAGGAAGGGGGGAAAAATTATGAGTATTTCAAGTGACTAACAGCCACCTGTAGAGAAGAAAAGGGAAAAAAAATCAGCTGGGTAACGTGTGATGTACTTTAGACCAGAATTCTTCCACCCTCTTCTGCGATTGCACCTCACCAGCTATGACTGGAGCAGCCTCCTGGAGGCCTGACCGGGAGAGTCTGCTCTGCTAAAAATCTGAAGTGCTCTGGGTGTGAAGCCACAGAAGCCCCCGAGCTGCCTTGCTGTTCCCTACTAAGGGCCGTAACAGACCATGTTTCTGTAGCAGAAGATGACACGCTGCTTGTTTCACACACGGACTGTGAGCAGCCAGCAGACTTAGCAGCATCTAAAGCGCACTTCAAGACTGCCAAGACCCCGTGGAAAAAAATCATCATCTTTCTCCCCACCCCAGCATACACCGTAGCACAATAACAAGGAAGCCAGCTCTAAGCAAAACTTCCAAAGCGATCTGCTGCAATTTCACTGGGCCATAAAGCATTTATCACCTGCAAAGCCCCACAGCTTTTAGCAGTATCAACACTGTTACTTAAAGCGACTTGGAAATATCAAGGATAAATGGTCCCATTTACCTATGTCGGGCTGGGGGGTCTGTTTTTTCTTAGGCTCAGAGGCGAGAGGTTTCGGTGCTTCTTTTTTCAAGGGTCCTGAGCTCGGTGGCTGAGGAGGAGGAGGGAGCTGTGCTGGCTGCAATGCCTGCTTGCCCGTCTTTCTGGTACCAGATGCAGGGACCTGTTTGGGCTCTGGCACCGGAATGGAGGAACTCCCATCCTCGTGCTTTTCCTCGACAGGCTTACGGGCAGGCTCGCTGCTCTTCTTTATGGCGTTTTCTTCCCTCGAGACGACACTCTGAGGAGTTTGTTTCTGCCCAGAGTCCAACTGGTTCTTTCCAGAATGGCTTTCTTTCTTTTCGTTTGCCTTCGACTTCTTCTCTTTCTTTTTTGCAGCTGGAAAGAAGAAGTATCAATCAAGCAACACAGACAGAAGGGCGTGACTTCAGACGATTTGCTGCTTTTTCAAAACAAGGAAACGAACACTTGGGTGTCAAGAATTCTGTCGTTCTGTAGCACCAGAGAGAAAACCGTACTCCAAAAAATTAAGCGGGGACGTAACAGAGCAGGGAGCTCGCTTAGGCCTTACGCCAGAGATAAGGAGGCTCCAGGAGACCCATGGGCCCCCGTGGCACCCGGAGGCAGGCAAACCTCTGAGAAACGTTTTGCCTACAGGGCAGAAGGGAGACTGAGCCGCCCTCAGGAGCAGCTCCCTGCAGAAGGGACGACCATCCAACAAGGGCAATGCTGAGAGAGAGACAGCCGCTGCACCTTCCGCCTGGCACCAGCAGAACGGGCTCCCCGTTCAGGTTGGGCTGCAGACTAACCTTTTGTAAGCCCAGCGTAGCCATGATGACAACACAAAGAGCAAAATTTAAGAGACGAAAGTTTCTCCCTTGTGCGATACTCAAGCCAAGTCTTTCAGCCTACCTTTCGCCTGCTTCTGGAGATACGCTTTTGAAGGCATCCACTGCAGATTCTGACATTTCCTCATTCTACAAAGAAAGAACATGTCACGAAATCAGAAGAATATCACAGATATTAAGAGGGCAGCCTGCAAATATTCAATGTGAAAACTGAAAAAATTTTGCCAATACACCCGCTATCTTTTCACAAGTAATCTTTTTTTTTCCCTGCTTCAACTTTATTTACGATTTTTATTATATTTAGCATATGTCATCTTTGCTAAGTTGGGCTAGGCTTTGTTTCTGCCTTCATTCTGGTTGCCCAAGGCCTGGGCAAAGCTGCTAAGAGCGAGACTCCTTGCAGACTGGAGTCTGCAGTGTGTTTTCACACGGAGGAGCACTACGCAGCGATTCTCACAGCCACACTTTATAAATAGCTTTCATGCCACTAGAGCCGCTGCCTTTTCAGACAGATTATCTAGTCTGGTGAAATCAATTTAGCGCAGCAATTTCGAAACGCAAAAGGTTCAAGTGAAGCGATACATATAAGAAGTGATGGGAGAAACCAAGGAAGAGCGTTTAATGACATCCAGAGGTATCTTTGTTATACGAGGCGTACACACACCAGATAAACATCATCTCAAAGAGACAAGCTCTTCAGAAACGCAATTTTGGGAGGAGAGGAGATAAATATCTCTGTATACACAGCCTTGCTTGCAGAAACCTGCACCACCTAACAAGAGCCACTGGTCTCATACCACACGTTTTTCAATGCTCTGATGCATTCATCAAACTGGGGAGAACAAACCTGGAGCCAACTTCAGAAAAGAGCTTGGAACAGGCTCCCCGTCTCGGAGTGTGGGTGTGCTTATCCCACTTGGCGGAGGGATTAGCCCAACAGTTGCTCAGGTGCACACTTACTTGCAGCACTGCTTCTTTATATTGCGCCCACCGAACTTGGGTTTGTCCAGACAGTTAGTGCAGACGCCGCAGTCCTCGGGAACCTGGCAGCCCGAGCACTGCCCACAGCGCCTGGAGCGTCGGCCCTTCTTCACCGGAGGTTCTTGCTGTGCCTTGTTTCTGGTCACCGGCTTAATTGGCTTGATTGGTGGGGCAAGAGGTTCGGCCTCTTCTGAGCCAGCTATTGAGGACTTATCTGTCAAGAAAAAACGATTTCAAATGCAAATCCACTGATGTCAAAGAACGTTTTGGAAGCGTTGGATTTGTCACTGGAATTCACTGCGTTAGGCGCCAGTTCACCGGCAGAGATGCACAAGGGGCGCGTGGAAGCTCAGATGTATGCACGTGTACACAGGTGGACGATCCGCGCCCCCTGGCAGACTGGAAGTTTAGCGCAGAGGAGACACATTTTTTAGCAATTACCGAAGGTTAAAAGGATGAGCCCTGTTTGAGCGCTGCTGCAACAGAGAGCCCAGAGCTGTTTAACATGCTTCCCTTCGTTAAGCACTCATTTTAAGCAGTCAGTAAGAGCTGACTTTGTATGAACCCACAGGTGAAAAGTAAAAATCTTAACCCACCATCGTTCCCCATGGAAGACAGTATTTTTTTCTTCCCACGGTAAGGCACTCAGAGTGGGCATGTCATCAGGAAATACTGCTCGCTTGCGGCCCAGCGCGACAGCTGCTCTCCTGCAAACGTGTTTTATTCGCGGTCCTCGCACGGACGTTTCCGATGAATCGCTCTCTTGTCCCTAGATTTCAGAACATAAGAAGGGACAATATTCCTAAGAAAGGTACCAAAATGAGGTTGAGAACTCTGTAATGGAAACCCGTAAAGAACCTTTAAAGTGTAAAATACGCACCAGTGATTTTCAACACTTGTGCCACTACAGAAAGTAAGTTTAAATAAAAAGGAAGCTTTTCCTGAAAATGTATTTATTTCACCTATGTTTCTGGTAGTTAAAAAGGAGAGCAGAAAGGGGTGAGGTTGGGGTGAAGGAGAGGGAAGAGAAGAGAAGCAAGCAGTAGGAAGCAGCCCCCTGGTCAGGTGCAAAATCCCAACAGATGCCACTCGCGCTCGTAAGGGACAGGGCACCAGTGCGTAAAGTTCAAAGCCAGCTTCATCTTCAGAAGGCAGCTTTACCCTCGAGAGGGCTACAAGAAGCACGGAGGCCAAGACAGATTACCGCGCCTTGCCGGAACGCTGCTTTTAACAGCGGGTACTACTCCTCTAGATGATCACTTGGCTTAGATTTACTCAGAGAAAGCCGATCAGCAGCTCCGCCACGTCAGTCTCCAGAAACGCACGCAGCTCCCCCCTGAGCCAACTACACAGCAGCTCCCTCTCCCCCTCAGCTTCTGCCCAGGGTTCCTCGTTTTTGGATCGTTTGCCATCTGTTGCACTAACAGCTGCTTAGCTCAGCACATTAATTCTTCACGCTTAGCATAGGAAAGCTACTTGTGACTTTCAGCCCAAGTTCCGAGTAAGACGCACTTTAGCAAAAAAATCAATAAAAGAAAAAAAATGAAAAAAGGCGTACCTGTGCTTTTGGCTGATCTGCTTGTTTGAGGGACTTGCTCTTCTCAATCTTGTACAGCTGGGCTTTTGCCTTTTTCAGAAGACTGGCCACCCTCTTGTCAGTCATCGGCAGTTTGTCTGCTTGAGCCAACATGGAGCTGATGGAGGAAGCGGAATGCTTAACAGCGCTTGACGAAGGAGCAGAAAGACGCAGGGCTTTTTCCTTCTCCAAAGACGGCACAGCGGGGCTGAGGTCCAGCTCGGATTTGTCTGACCCCCCTCTCCCTTTCTTGGACGTTTTGGTTTTGACGGCTGCCGACTCCACCAGGGCAGCAGTGGAAACATTTGCTGCGGGATCTGCTACCGCAGACTTCTTCCGCCCGGCAGCCTTTTTGGCAGATGATGATGCCGCGACCTCTTCACCGGCAACTTTGTCTTTGGACATTTTACCTACAGGAAACAAAGCTGAGCTACTCTGGATTTCTGACCCTTTCCTCCTTTTCTCTTTCCTCGACTCCCGCTTGTTTTCCTTCTCTCTCTCTCTGTCTTTCTCTCTGCTCTTGTCCTTCTCCAGGCTTTTGTCAGCGTCTTTGTCTTTGGAGAGCTCCTCCACCGCCCTGTCCTTGTTTCGGCCCCTCTCCGTCTGGGGACTTGATGTGAACCAGGGGAAGAGAGGAGTCGGGCTGCTGGACGAGAAAGGCTCGGCCGGAGTGCTAGTCTGCTTCCTCGGCCTCTGGCTTCTTTCTGCTGATTCTCCGGACTGCGTTAGGGAATGGGAAGGAAAAGTGAAAGTTGAGTTTAAGGCACTAGTGGCAAGAGAACTAACAGAAATGCTAGTCAGTGAGGAAGAGACAGAAGATGGTGGGGTGAGAGTCGTCAGGTCGGAGGTGCTAAGTCTCCCGCTTCTTGTCCTCATGGAGTGCGAAGGAGATCTGGGTTCGGAGCGGATGGGGCTGAACACCTTCCTCTTCCGCCTCCGGGAGGAGGCACTCGCCGCAGAGGTCCCCGTGGAGGCACGACCGACCGACGAGGGCAGGGTCACGGATTCGAAGATCCTGGAGTGGGCCTCGCTCGGCGTGAACCGAGGTGCTCTCAGCAGAGGGCTTCTCTTGTGCATATCAAACCTCGTTCCAGAGTGAAGGGAAAACAGACGTGCCGGGGCCGTCGCGCCGGGCGTCGAGAAGCCAGACGCAAAGCCCACATCCTCTGGCGTCAGCGGCGGGGGCCTGAAGTTGTCGAATATCGGTTTGCGAATGAGACCCTCTTTGGCATATTTCGCTGATGAGAAGTACTGCGGCTCCGACCTGGAATGCTTCAGGGAGGTCCACCGGAACGTCGGCTCCCGCAGGATCGACTTCCGTTTCTCTTGCATTGGCGCAGCAGAAGCAGGGAGGAAGGGCGAGGCCAGCGGGATGGTCGGAGGCATCAGCCAAGGCGTATGGTCTGAGATGCTGGAAGCGGGCTGCAGCGGTGGCGGAGGGGAGAGCAGGGGAGGAGGAGGAGAGGAGGAGGACTGCTGCTGCGGCACGCTGGGTAAGGCCGACAGCTTTTTGGCCGCCCTCTGGCCAAAGCTCCTTTCTGTCATCGAAAACCTTCTGTTTCTCCTGTCACCGTTATCGGTGTCAGGGGACTGAGAAACGGGCAGCGGCGCGTGGACTTCTGGAGTGTTGCTTCGCTCCTCAGAAAGCGTCTGCATCTCCTCGGAGGCCTGGGAGTCCGTCGAGGTGTCCACACTGGGGCTGCTGGAGCGTGAGGAGTCCGAAGACATCTGAGACGAATGCTGAGAGGCAGCGCTGGACTTTTCGCTGGAGCCGCACGACGTCGCGCTGAACCTGCTGTTGGGTGTGGATTCGAGTCTGGATATTTTGATAGGAGGATCATAGTCCTCGTCCTCAATGAACCGTTTGGGCGTTTTAATAATCCGTGAGGAGATGGCACTCACAACCGGCATGATGAACTGTCGGATATTTTTGAGCTGGGTTCTCCCCTTCCTGCCTTGCAGTTTGGCTGCTTCTTTCTCGATCTTTTTTTGTGCCCCTTTTTTAGCCCTCTGCAAGAGTTGCTTTGCGATTGTGGCATCTGTCCTTTTGGTGGAAGGTATGATCCTAACGGGCTTAATCCTGCGCGGGCTCTGCCTGACCGCAGTCTTCTCCTCCTTCGTAAGAGGCGGCGTGCCATCCTTTTCTTTGCGAACCCTCTGGGGCTTCTCCAGCTGCGAGTTTACGACTAACCCCGAGGAAGTCTTTAAACGTTCAGAGGATGGCGGCCGACCCCTCCTGCGCACAATCTGA